CTAACACTTACTAGGGAAGTCACAATGATGGATCCGTCTTTTCTCCACACAATCTACTAACACTTACTAGGGAAGTCACAATGATGGATCCGTCTTTTCTCCATACAACCTACTAAAACTTACCAGGAAAGTCACAATGATGGATCCGTCTTTTCTCCACACTGACTACTAACACTTACTAGGGAAGTCACAATGATGGATCCATCTTTTCTCCATACAACCTACTAACACTTACTAGGGAAGTCACAATGATGGATCCATCTTTTCTCCATACAACCTACTAACACTTACTATGGAAGTCACAATGATGGATCCATCTTTTCTCCGTACAATCTACTAACACTTACCAGGAAAGTCACAATGATAGATCCATCTTTTCTCCATACAATCTACTAACACTTACTAGGGAAGTCACAATGATGGATCCATCTTTTCTACATACAACCTACTAACACTTACTAGGGAAGTCACAATGATAGATCCATCTTTTCTACATACAACCTATTAACACTTACCAGGAAAGTCACAATGATGGATCCGTCTTTTCTACATACAACCTACTAACACTTACTAGGGAAGTCACAATGATAGATCCATCTTTTCTCCATACAACCTATTAACACTTACCAGGAAAGTCACAATGATGGATCCGTCTTTTCTCCAGCTCTGGATTGTTCCTCCGGTTGAAAGGTTTATTCGACTGGACGTCGCCCATGAACGTAGCTGGAAGGGCAGTAGAACCCTGCGAAGAAAGCGGGTAAGGAGGTGGCGGTGTACGTCGACCCAACGTGAACGTTTCTGTTGAAGGGCTGCCCGGTTCAGAGTTTGGCGGAGTGGGTGGCATACAGACTCTCGACAGATGTGGAAACCTGTAACCTTGCAAGTTGTTTCCTGAAGGAACATCTGGTGATGACATCGGACTGGACATCTGCATCGTAAACTGACCGGGGGACAGTCCCTGCAAGTTGGAATGCTTCTCTTGTTTAGTAGCACCCTGGGATGTAGAGTAAGAACAAGGCTGTAAGGCTTCGCACTTGATGGCCACCACTTCTGAATCCATTTTCATGGGTGCTGTAACGTCTTCCCAGAGGGTCGGCTTCATCTCTGGACTTGGTACCGGCGCTGGCTTCAGAAATACTTCGTCGTCGGTTTTCGCGTAACCACACCCAAAACTCGGGCTTAAGCCGCCATTTGTTTGATGATAGTGGTGGTGGTGGTGGTGGTGGTACGGGCGGTCGAAGTGCGATGTCTGACCACCTCGAATCTCGGGATTAAAACCGTTATTTATCCGATTAGCCTGAGTCGGAGACCCGTACATACTGTAGCCGACCATAGCGACCCCGAGATGGTTGCTAGGGACGAACTCTGTATGTTCTTCAAAGAACTCGTCCACTTGAGACGCACTTTCACGCCGAGGCTTCTGCGGTAGGGCTTCCGGCATGCGGGCCCATTCGTGCCGCCCTAAGTACGTGTCCAGTTCGCTCTTAGCCTGGGGAAGAGAAAAACCAGAACATTAGAAATACGATAATTCAAGTATTAAACCCCGTTATTCAAGATATGGTTAACACTGTTACAGTCTCGTGTTCAGGAGACTTGTTTCACCAGATATGGTTAACACTGTTACAGTATGGTGTACAGGAGACTTGTTTCACCAGATATGGTTAACACTGTTACAGTATGGTGTAAAGGAGACTTGTTTCACCAGATATGGTTAACACTGTTACAGTCTGGTGTACAGGAGACTTGTCTCACCAGATATGGTTAACACTGTTACAGTCTGGTGTACAGGAGACTTGTCTCACCAGATATGGTTA